TGGGTAGAATATAGTTGTGCAATAATTGGCTGTTGATTGCTGGTGTTGACTTCTTGATGTGTAGTGCCTCGCAAACGTCAAGCCGCCTGCTATCGCTGTATCTATCGATGATTTCTGTGTTGTTTACTAGGATTTCTCTGGCGATGGTTTGGTTGTGGGAAGAGATTATATGTTCCTTAATGGAGCCCTGTTGCTTATGCATCGTTAAACGCCTAGAAAGAGATGTTGTTGTCTTGCCTATATACTGGGTTTTTTGGAGCAAATACTTGGGGACTGTAAGCTCCAAGTGGGCATATATAGGCAAGACGACGTTATCTCTTTCTAAGCGTTTAACGATGCATAAGTGTCTGGATTAAGAGTTTCTCTTCCCATAAAACCAAACCATCGCCAGAGAAATCCTAGTAAACAACACAGAAATCATCGATAGATACAGCGATAGCAGGCGGCTTGACGTTTGCGAGGCACTACACATCAAGAAGTCAACACCAGCAATCAACAGCCAATTATTGCACAACTATATTCTACCCACCTCAAGACTCCGCTCCAATATAGAAGCATCAAGAAATATGGACCAATAGGCTTTCTACAAACACTTCTATTCAATATCCATTGTTTCGTGTTCTGTCTTGTGTTGATGAAATTAATACCCTATTAATACTCTTGTTCTGTCTTGTGTTGATGAAATTAATACCCTATTAATACCACATTTTGTTCTGTCTTGTGTTAATGCCACATCACCCCTTCCACCTCACTCAAATGTAGATATAAAATCGGAGATACGTAAGTTCTATTCAGTTGTGTATTTGTGAACTAAAGTCTTTGAAAATGTAATAAGTTTTACGAAACGCGCCCGTGTCGCGTCAGACTAGAAATAAAAATGAATTTTGGAGAATTGATTTTTGATTTACCTCCAACAGTGAAGCGTAATGTACGAAAGATTGAGAAAATTCGTGTTAGAATTATTAATCTTACTTTTTCGGTCATATTTAATAATATATGTCTACAGGAAAGACTGCTACCAAAATATACTAATATATATATATATATATATATATATATATATATATATATATATATATATATATATACATTAAGAATTTGCGCTCAGTAAATCCTCCCCAGCCAGGATACAAACGCAGGACAAAGTGCTCGCGGAACGCCAGGCGAGTGTCTTATAACTACACCACGGAGACTACATTTGATATTTTGTTTACCCTCAACCTGTTATTGAAAAATGGTGACATTTGGCAATGCAGGGGGTGGGGGGGGACAAATGTTCATTATTAAACATTAACCCATTCATATTTTTGCCCCTTATGAGTTTTGGGTGCTACCAGCATCTCAATGATTTGGCCCTTGTGCAAATTTGTTTGGTATTTTGCTTCCAATGCATACTGCGAAGTTACTATGCATGGTAAAGTGTTCAATTTGGTTGCATTTTTAAGCTAAGGAGTTGTACTTTATGATGGCATTTTCAAAATGCAATACATGGGAGAGGTCGGCCGAGCGGACAGCATGCTGGACTTGTGATCCTGTGGTCCTGGGTTCGATCCCAGGCGCCGGCGAGAAACATTGGGCAGAGTTTCTTTCACCCTATGCCCCTGTTACCTAGCAGTAAAATAGGTACCTGGGTGTTAGTCAGCTGTCACGGGCTGCTTCCTGGGGGTGGAGGCCTGCTCGAGGACCGGGCCACGGGGACACTAAAAAGCCCCTAAATCATCTCAAGATAACCTCAAGATAACCAAGCAAAACGAAACAAAAGCGAGTTAAATCTTGGCAACACGACAATGAAAATTACTACAGTCATCATCTAAATGTTCCGGCATATTGAGCAAGTGATGACTGCAGTCACAAAAATGTTAAGAGTTAAATTGTATGCAAAATAAGAAAAAAAAATATATGAATAGGTACCTTTTTTTTATTACTGGGGGGAAGGAGCTGTGAAAGGTTGCACAGTGGCCATATGGTCTGGCATCTGTCAACACAACCCACATAGGCGGTCTGGTAGCTCAGTGGACAGTGCGCAGGACTTAATTCTGTGGGCTAGGTTCGAATCCCGGACCAGACAGAAACAAATGGGCAAAAGTTTATTTCACCCTGATGCCTCTGTTACCTAGCAGTAAATAGGTACTTGGGAGTTAACCAGCTGTTACAGGCTGCTTCCTGGGTGTGTGTGTAATTACCTAAGTGTAATTACCTAAGTGTAGTTACAGGATGAGAGCTACGCTCGTGGTGTCCCGTCTTCCCAGCACTCTTTGTCATATAACGCTTTGAAACTACTGACGGTCTTGGCCTCCACCACCTTCTCACTTAACTTGTTCCAACCGTCTACCACTCTATTTGCGAAGGTGAATTTTCTTATATTTCTTCGGCATCTGTGTTTAGCTAGTTTAAATCTATGACCTCTTGTTCTTGAAGTTCCAGGTCTCAGGAAGTCTTCCCTGTCGATTTTATCAATTCCTGTTACTATTTTGTACGTAGTGTTGCACCTTTTCCAGTTTGTTGATGTGCTTCTTAAGATATGGGCACCACACAACAGCTGCATATTCTAGCTTTGGCCTAACAAAAGTCATGAACAATTTCTTTAGTATATCGCCATCCATGTATTTAAATGCAATTCTGAAGTTAGAAAGCATTGCATAGGCTCCTTGCACAATATTCTTAATGTGGTCCTCAGGTGATAGTTTTCTATCTAGAACCACTCCTAGATCTCTTTCTTTATCAGAATTCTTTAAAGATTTCTCACATAATATATAGGTTGTGTGGGGTCTATGTTCTCCTATTCCACATTCCATAACATGACATTTATTAACATTAAATTCCATTTGCCAAGTGGTGCTCCATATACTTATTTTGTCCAGGTCTTCTTGAAGGGCATGACAATCATCTAAATTTCTTATCCTTCCTATTATCTTAGCATCATCAGCAAACATGTTCATATAATTCTGTATACCAACTGGTAGATCATTTATGTACACAATAAACATCACTGGTGCAAGAACTGAACCCTGTGGTACTCCACTTGTGACATTTCTCCATTCCGATACATTGCCTCTGATTACTGCCCTCATTTTTCTATCAGTCAGAAAATTTTTCATCCATGATAGAAGCTTACCTGTCACCCCTCCAATATTTTCCAGTTTCCAGAACAACCTCTTATGTGGAACTCTGTCGAAAGCCTTTTTTAGGTCCAGATAGATGCAGTCAACCCAGCCATCTCTTTCCTGTAATATCTCTGTGGCCCGATCATAGAAACTGAGTAAATTCGATATTGTGTGTGTGTGTGTGTGTGTGTGTGTGTGTGTGTGTGTGTGTGTGTGTGTGTGTGTACTCACCTAATTGTGCTTGCGGGGGTTGAGCTCTGGCTCTTTGGTCCCGCCTCGTGGATGTGTGTGTGTGTGTGTGTGTGTGTGTGTGTGTGTGTGTGTGTGTGTGTGTGTGTGTGTGTGTGTGTGTATACTATATAGCACTTGGAAGGGATCAGGGTAAGGATTTGGGATGGGACGGGGGGAAGGAATGGTGCCCAATCACTTGGACGGTCGGGAATTGAACGCCGACCTGCATGAAGCGAGACTCTACCGTCCAGCCCAAGTGGTTGGGTGGGCGAGTGAGTTAGTAGTTAGTAACAGTAGATTGAGAGTTGAGAGGCGGGCTGAAAGAGCAAAGCTCAACCCCCACAAGCACAACCTAGGTGAATACACTATAGCAAGTTTGTTGACACCGAGGTATGCGAGAAACAACTCCCATATTCTCCTTGGATGTTTCACTGATTGTTTATCACATTTTTTATGTTTATTTGCAAGAGTACACGTGTTGAATAACTTAAATTCACATAATTTACAAAAACTACGATTTGGTTTACCTGGTATATTTCATCACTCCCATCCAGGAGGCCTGGTCGACGACCGGGCCACGGGGACGCTAAGCCCCGGAAGCACCTCAAGGTAAGGTACAGTGATACTGAAAATCGTACAAGAACATAATATACAATTGTCAGGGTGGACAAAGACAAACTCTTTAGTGCAGGTGGAACATGAACAAGGGAACACAGGTGGAAACTTAGTACCCAGATGAGCCACAGAGACATTAGAAAGAATTTTTTCAGTGTCAGGGTAGTTAACAAATGAAATGCATTAAGTAGTGTTGTGGTGGAGGCTGACTCCATCCACAGTTTCAAATGTAGATATGACAGAGCCCAATAGGCTCAGGAATCTGTACACCGGTTGATTGACAGTTGAGAGGCGGGACCAAAGAGCCAGAGCTCAACCCCCACAAACACAACTAGGTGAGTACACATGTTGGGCTCTGGGTGATGACAAGGCTTAATTGGCATCATAAAGGTGACAATGTGGATTGAAAAAAAGGCTCAAGAAACCAATGTGCCACCTAGATGACAGCAGGCCATCATGTAACATGATAATGGTTTAATCAATTGGTTTACATGGTATACTTCATTACAACCATATGGAGCTGTGAAAAACCACTTCATCATCATCACTATGCATATCAAATAAGTGATGGAATTTTTTAGTGACCGCATTTGCCTAGTAACATGATAATGATAATCACATGGTAACATGATCTTGAAACATAATAGCAGAATTTTTTATGGGTCAAAGTAAACTCCATTACATTTACATAGTTATTATATTCTTATTTGCAACATATGTGCAAAACCAGAGAATCCTACAATGTAAAACCCAGATAACGATGGTTTAAATCATGACAACAACCGCTCTCTAATCAACCCAAAGATTATTGTAGGCAAGTTGAAGGACAATGTGAAAGTTCACTCTCCAAGGTAACTTTAGCAGAAATAAAAATATTGCCCCTTCAGTGGAAGTTCAAACTGAATATTAATACCTGGATACCAATTTTGAGCATTAGCATGATATGGTAACCATACCTCCACTCTAACACTATATCTAATGTATTATGAACATTTTATAAACTGATGAGGTTAATTAAATTACAGTCTGGATGGTGATTAAAAAAATGTATGTACTGTAAACATTTTATTAAAAACATTTTAAGGTTCCCACCACCATGCACACACACGCACATACATACACATGCATACAGTCACATGTTGCTCTATGATTCATATATTGTTACCGATGAAATCACTGACAAATTAAGGCTTGTTTTGCAAGAATAAAAAAAAAATTGACCCCATGCACAAAATTACAAATGAAACAATTACATTTAAATTACTATGCTAAATTTATTTAATTATTCTTAAAAACCTGTAACTACTTCAGAACTCTTTTTACATCCACATAATCAACATTAATATATAAAATGGAGTCACTCATTCTATAGACTCGTATGATCACACAGTTAAACATTTACTTTCACCTTTTCATTTGAGCCTATATGTATTTCATTTCCAAAGCACCTTTTTCAGGACAAATAAAATGTGACACTTGGTAATCTTGGCTTACCTTAAACGTCTATATGAATCCCGTCTTCAAATACAGCATATAACCAATCCAATTTGACAATTATGCCTGTTTTCTGAAGCCAATTGCCTTTGAACATTAATATTTCATTCACTGTTCTTCAAATATATTATATATATTATATATAATATATAAGGGACAAAAGCTAGTAGTTTGTAAAGAAAAATACATCAAATATGGCCAGGATCACAAAAGAACCTCCTTACATAACAATGATGCATCCAAACACCCTCCTTCTCAAGACATCATGGAAGAAGACAACTTGCAATATAGTGTCTTCATTACTTTATAATTATTATGCCCTTTATGTCCCACACTTCAAAATTAAAACTATATGGAAAGAAACAGGTAATTAATATTTAAAGTAAACACATGGTCGTGTGTATTTTTTCAGTAATTTTACAGCAATATTTACCATCACTGATTTAATATCAATTTCTACCAATTTCTACATATGTAGAGCAAAGCAATAGAGTAATTATGAAATTTGCTTCTCAGGATATCCGGCTCCTGATTTACCTCACCTGAAACTAACAAATTAATAATTACTTTGCATGTGTAAAGATTTCCAAGTATCAATGAAAATGAATCTGTTAAAACTTGGAGGGGGGGGGGGGGGGGGGGGGTTTGCAAGAACCTGCTCTGGACAAGTTTCTAATGCTTCAATAAATAACTAGGTGCTAAAGTGGGGTTGTAAAATCAAGTTATTGATGCGCTAGACATTAGGATCTACAAATTTTAAGAGCATCCCACAAAAGAATTTCGACACCTTTACCTTACAATCCCGCAGACTTTAAATAATAATAAATAATACTTAAAGGTTTAGATTAAAAAATAGCCATTTAAATTATGATTGAAATGGGCATGTATGAAATGTGTGGCAAAAGATAATGAGAATACCACTGGGAAAAAGACAGATGCACCTGCATACTCATTTATTTTACATAATTTATGTGACCTCTTTAGTACTGATTGTCCAGGGCCTAAAATTTAGGTACTAGTAAGGTTACCTTAAGTTATACCAGTACCTGTGAATAATAAAGCGATATATATAAGTCACGAATATAATACAGTACATACATAAACAAGTGTATTCTGACTTTTGTAGATACTCGACTCCTATTCATACTTTTATCAAGCTACAAAACCCCCACTCCAAGATACCGACCTAACAATGCTGTTAGCGCAGTAAGTATATGGTGATAAAGCTTATTTTCCCTAAGTACTTGGCACATGTCAGTCATAAATTATGTCCTAGTTTGCAGAAAACAGAGAAAAGAATTAGCTACAGCTACTGGCTGACTTAAAACAATTATTAAACTGATTCTTAATGTACTTTGGGAAACTTATAGAATAATAATGTATAAAAAAAAAAAAAAAAAATTGCCATGGAAGTGAAAACAAATGGAATGTGAAGAGAGCCTAAGTAAAAATGACATTCAATTTTTTTTTTTTTATAAAATATATCAATATATATATATACATTATACAAGATTAAAGAAATAAGAGAATCTACACAAAAATTATTGATTATTAGTACAGTAGTGCAATTAAACTGTGGAAGAGCTTCACAACTCTTACACTTTTTAGCCATACTTTTCATAAATATTTATTACTGAGTGTATACATACATGTGTGTGCATGCTTATGTGCATGTGTGGGTGTGCATTTGTGTAAGTTAATGTTTCAACATATAAACATCAAAACATGTTCATTCATGTAAACAAAGATGTGCATATACTTGTGTATATTAATATATACATACTGTATATGCATACATGTGGACATACACAATTAAGCATTGTGAACATGAATTTACATACATACTTTCTCGCACTTACATACACTAACGCATCAAAGTAGTTGTGCAAAGAGCTTATGTTACTGTAGCAAGTATCAGAATCACATTTAAATGCTGTATATGGATAGAAAAATGCTATAACTTTTCATAACATTTGAGAGAGTGAAATTGAGAGACTATGCAGCAGTTTTGTGGTGTCTGTATCTCATGGAGATATCAATGCACTAGAAAGGTTACAAAGACATGCTGCTAAAATGGCATATGGAATTAAAAAAAAAACTAAGGCTATGAGAAGATGCTAAAGGTGTTAAATATGCCAAAGTGGAAGATATAAGGAAAAAGAGGAGATATGCTCACCACTTACAAAATAGTGACAGTGAACTTAAATTGAATTGAACAGTGAATTTTTAAATCTCCAGCTTTAAGAACAAGATTTAAGCTAAAGAAATAAAGGTGGAGAAAAAAAAAAGAAAAAAAAAAAATTACAAACAGTTGGGTTGAAACAATTTAAGTGAGGTGGTGAATACCATAAGCATCAGCAGTTTTAAAGCACCATATAACAATTATAAGGAAGACAGGACAACCCCTCAGCATAGTTCCCATCCTGTAACTACACTTAATTATTTAGGCAATTACACACACACACACATGCATGTATGAACACAAGACAAATACAAGTCAATTTGGATAAATTCAATGTAATGGAGTGTGGAACAAGTTAATACAGTTAAGAAAGCTTACACTACACTTGGCAATTTCAGAATCATCTTCAAATTCATGGCTGAAGAAATACTACAGTAATTATTCATGAAAAATACATATACTAATTTGAGTCTCAAATTTTGTATCCAAATTTTAAAAAGTATACCAATAAATTAGAAATGATGCAGAGACATGCTATTACATGCTTTCCTGACCTAATACAAAGACTTCCTGATCTGACAGAGTTGACAAATAGAATTTTTTTAAACCCACAACTTTAAGAATGAAAGACCAGAGATTCAAGCTAAGAGAAAAAAGTGTTGAAAAACATGCAAAAGTTCTTATTGCAAACAGTGTTACACCAATGGAATATATTAAATGAGAGGGGTAGTGGATGACAATACCACTGGAAGCTTCATATCGTCATATGACAAAGCTTACAAGGAAGACGGAACACCACAAGAGTAGCTTTCATCATATAACTACACTTAGGCAATTACAATAAACTAGTCTCAGAACTGAGAGGTGCAGGTTTAGAGGAAAGATTAAAGGAATTATATCATCACTGGTCAATAGATGAGAAGAAATGAGGACACATGATTACCACACACAAAATACTAAGAGGAATAGGCAGGGAAGACAAGGGTTGACACAAGCAAGGGCATACAAATAGAAATAAAGTGCCCGAATGTGCCATAGACACATTTGGAAAAAAAATTGCAAAAGTTGTGAACAAAGAAAATACTCTTATAAAGTGAAGTGATGTGGGCGAGACCAAATAAGTGAAGCTCATTTCCCACAAGTACAATTACACGAGTGGTACAAGCATGCACCCCTCACACACACACACACACACACACACACACACACACACACACACACACACACACACACACACGAACACGCACACACACGAACACACGCACACACACGCACACGCTGCACAGACTTCCATTTTTCTGGGAATCAATTACAGTATTTAATTATGCATCAATTCATTAAAATATACAAAGAATTAAATTGCATTAATCTTCAAGAGCTTCACAGCCTCAGTTCAGGGTTTCATGGTCATTATAACTAATAAAACTTCTCTACTAAAGATGCTGTTGAAACTTAATGCGCTACACTTATGAACCTAACACTGAAGTAACAAGAAGCACCCACCACCATATTATAAAACTATATTAAACCCATTTTAAAGTAATATCCCTCCACCAATGAATGTTCAAAATAATTATTGTGTCATATCTTAGTGACAAAGGAATTATGACAGTCTTAGCTAAAAATTATAGGTGCTGTGAATAATACATGGATGTTATGTTGTAGAAACTTTTTAAATGACTTAATAACAACCGGCAATTAACCTGCAATGTTAACTAAAATAATGCATCATGATTATAACCCTCTCCACTATTCAATCCTCAGCACTGTTATTTCTCACACACATGCTTGTTTAATCGAGAGAGTTTGATATGGTGATAAATTATCCCTTGATCCCATGTAAGAAAACAATGGAAAAGATATTTGATATAAAAAATTACATTATTTAATTCCAAGAATAACTCATACTCCACTTTCATTGTCACAATTTTATCATATGAAAATCAAAATGGAGTTACTTGCAGCAATTCACTGACACAAGCTCAAAACTTGCATAATGGTATCCAACAATCGATTAAAAACACGAGCCATTACTTGCAACTGCAGTGTATCGTAGTACAATGCCTTAGAATAAAACAAACTTTTACAATTTTGAGCAAATTACGAGCTAACAATTTTACGAAGTGCATCTGGTAGTATACTAAACTAGTCCAATATGTTCTTGGGAATGTTTAAGAGATACTCCATACAATTAACCAATAAAATTTGATGTGCCTGTTAGCCTTGTGCAGGTATCACAGCTTGACCACGCCATTAAAACAGACCCTACCTAACCACCTGGAATAGTTATGCATTTGCCTATACTGGAACACATACTACAGTATATACTGCTCTTGTTTAACTTGGAATCTCATTAACTGCACTTAAAATGTAAATTTACCCAAATCTTTTATTTATCAAGTAATAATCACAATTGCTCATGGCCAATACCAAGATTTTTAATCTAAAATAAACCAAATGGGGTTTTGCCACATCTAAGAAAAAGATTATGACAATTCTAAGCCTGCAGTTATGATGGAGTCTTGAATTATAATGTACTGGAAGTTCAATCAATTTTTAAAGGCATACAGGTCTGTACATACAGCAATAAAGATAGGCTGATAAGCTAAAATTGAGTTAAATAGACTGTACAATAAATGCTGTTCTGAGGAAAGAGCCATGTCTACACAAAATTAATTAGTTAAATATATATATAGCTAATATTGCCATCACCTGAATCTTACAAAGGTTTATAACAAACATTTAATATAGAGTTAACTGTAAAGAATTTACCCCATTTACCATTTGCTTGTTAATACAGAACATGGGCCTTAAGCTACTGCACCCTATATTGGTAATAATAATTTTACATCATTCCCTCCACAAGTCTGATTAACCATACATCTAGCACAGAATTTTAATGCATATAAAGTAACTATACATGTATAAAAATAATTACAAACTGAAAAACACACCAGCTCATTGATGTTCTATGTGAAAAGCTTCCTACTCTACAGCAATAGCAATTATCAGACAAGCTCTCCAACATAAGATAAATAAGCTCTCTCCTCAGCATATTACTGTACAACAAACGAACTCTTTCTCCAGCATATTACCAGCTACCAATGAGCCTTCTACATAGCATATCAATCGAGCTCTCGGTTTAAGGAGGATATTACCAGTAATGTAATAAGCAACATTGCCCTTTCGCTATACCACTATACCAGGTGTGACATTTTTATATAAAAAACCTTCTCTGGATTTCTTAGAAGGCACTGATTTCACATTCTCACCTGGACAGATCATACAGGAAGATATAACTCTGGAAGTTATGGGATAATGTCATATTTACAATATATATAGTTTACTCGAGCTGAAGTCGACTATGCCTGAACAACTTCAAGCAGTCTACTATATTTCAGTGCTGCTCCCTTAAATTAGCACCTCTTTCATGGTATATTTGCTCGAGGCAAGTAGCATCGTTTTCTTGTGCTTTTTACTCACAGACACTTCATATAGTTAATAAATTCCCTGATTAGCCTTTATATCAAACTGGCTGGTACTAGCTACTGAATTTTTTCTATTTCTCACAAAATCCATGTCAGTATGTACATGATTCTTAAATGCTGTGTTAGGCTCACAAAATGCCTAACTTTATAAAGTACACTTAAACATCAGGGTAAAGGACTTTAGCAGTTTGTACAAAGCTACATTTTCTTGTTTTACACAGAAATTTGTATGTTATCTACAGACAGCACAATTTATATATGCTTTCTTGGCTATCATTAAAGTTCACATTAAGTACAAATGATAAAACCTTTCTAGCTTCATCATGGATGGTATTTTTGTTGTAATTTCCAGTTACAGAAGTATTTCTTGCAACATCTTTAACTGGGCATCAATTAAGTAACAATCTGTCATTCACAACCATGATAGAAATACGCTTAGTTTACAAATTCTGAACATTTATGATCTATGTTCTCACTTGAAATCACAAAAATATTAGACCTAGCTCTAAAACCCTGTTGATGATAATCCCATAAAGCATCACCGAGTTCTGGGTATTGGAGCATTTACTGCATACTGTACTGAACACAAAACCATCACTTTGCATCATTTCATGTAAAAAAACAAACAAAAAAAAGCAATTCACTTAATAAAAAATACACAGACCACAAATTAATTGGCTTGCCATTTAAAAGAGCCATTCATAATCCACTGTTGAGTTACTGAGCCGTCACACGGTTTGAGGACAGGCAGGGTAACATCCCGAGCATCAGGCTTTTGTAAGCATCGCCCAGAGTTTACATGGCGAATTGATCCATCCTGAAAATAGAATACAAATTATTTTCCAGTTATTTAATTAAACTAACAGGAATGTAACACCGACTTATACCTGTTTTTATATTATAAAATAAATAACTACTAAAAAATGACATACCACTGCTCCTTCTCCTCCACCAATATAAATTAAACCAAGAAACTACAGTATGTACTACATGTACTTTGCTAATAAAAACTACAACAAAACAGTCCCTGCCATATTAAACAATTACTCTATGAAAAATAGTAAGTTAGGAGGTATAATTTCCCTATGAATTCACAAAGCAGTATAAAATCTATAGAATCCAGGTAATGAGAAAAATTTAATGCAAGGTGAAAATAAAAAATGTTTAATTGAAAAATATACTCCACTCGATAACACTATTACTGAACTATAGTATTTTATTTTTATTTTTAATTTTAAGAGGGATAAACTTTGATAAAAATATCGTGGAGTATCCAAAAGTTACTATTTTAACTGAATGTTAACATCGCAAATTTTTATGTCAATCTCTATTGAATCCCTGTAATACTGTACTGTATATCTACAACTTAATAATCATTACACCAGAAGAAATACAAAATTATATGAAACATGTTTGCTGATGACCTCAAGCTAGTAGGTAAGATAAGAAACTTAAGACGACTGTCATGCCCTTCAAGTAGACCTGGACAAAATAATGGACTCGAATTTAGGGGTGTTGGTCAAATCGACCATGGTTCTGTCTGCACTTGTTCCTTTCCTGGTCGACAAAGTTCGCCCTGCTTCTGGCTCCAAAAATCTGAGGGTTTTGGAAGCATGGGCAGGATTTACCTCGGGATGTGACATAGGGTGGATCCAGGGTTTACCCCTTCCGATACGGGCACAGAGGCAGTTGAGCCTCTCAATCCCACCGAGGCTTCTGGGTCTTTCCAGCTAGATCACCTCACTGTAAGTACTGTTTAACACTTTCGCCCGGGCATGACGCAGCATTGCGTCATCCGTTTACTGGCGGTAATACCGGGGATGACGCAGCATTGCGTCATCCACTTTAAATAATCGCCAAAAATCAGGTTTTTATCAGATTTTTTTGGGACTGGTTTTAAAATGCGCGCCGATGTCTTCCCATTTTCTTTGTCGAGCCTCGTGGCCCTCAGGCGGCTTGGCACACGCCGTGGGCCCATTGTTTTCGCTCCACTGTTGTGACCAATGTTGCCTCCCCTCGCATCTCAAACGTGTGAACATTTCGGCTATTTTCCGTGGCTATATTTCTTACTGCGGCTTTAGAAACTATCTACGCTTACTCCACGATGGATAGTGATCATGAACAAGGCCCTTCCAGGAAGAAAATTGCGAAAGAAAGGCTTGAAAAGGGCGGGAATTGGGAGTGTAGCTGGAAGGCATCTGAGCGCTCACTTGCGGCTAACGCGTGGCCCGTCTTCAACTCGTTGGCGGTTGGAGCGTGACCAGGTTTTTTATTTTATATGCTAATGTTCCTATAGAGAATTCTATTGCGAACCCATTGAGACCAAAATGAAAAATCTAGGACGAAAATTGGGGTGACCAGAGTGAAAATAGTGAAAACATTTTATCGCGTTTGTGCGCTCCTGGGTAACTCGTTCGCACTTTCTCTGTTTGCTGCGGGTAATTAGCCGGGCTTTTGGAGTTTATATGCATTTAGTGCTGTAGAAAATTCTATTGCGAACACAATGATACAAAATTTAATCTCGTAGGACGAGAATTAAGGTGACAAAGTTGAAGAGAGTATACACTTTTCAGAATTTACGCGCGCTCCCGTGACACCCTGGGTCCCATATCGCACAGTTGAGGGGTGGCGGGCGGGGTGCACGAAAGTGTTAATAGTGTGTACGCTAATACTCATTTCGTTTGTTGTGGCATTGAGTACTAGGAGATTTTGAACCCATCTTTGAGTAGGCATTTCAATTCTAGTGAATCATTTTCAGTCTGTTGGTTGTTTAAGTTCTTCACTTTTGTAAACCATGCATTTGTCTGTATTGCTTTGTCTACTTTCTGGATTCTTCCTCTGAATAATCTTAAAAATACCCAGCTCTCTCCGCTTATACAAGGGGACCAGGTTCTGGTCTCTAGTAGGCCAACAGGATAAGTATGACTTATGTGAATTAGTAATGTAAAGCTATCTCGGTGATATGCATCAGCGAGCCACCAAGGAGCTTCCTTTGCCCAAGAAAAGCAATCAAGCTACTCACTCTGCAGGTGTTTTACATGACACTGGGTGGGAACTTTTATTACAAATAGATATAAGTTATTATTCCTATCAGAATTCACAGTACCTGATCATTATAAGTCCACATCTGGTTACCACCCATGCCGTGACAACGCACAAGCTTCACCGGCCCACTAGGGTTGGAGGCATCTAGACAGTTGTCATCGGACATAATCTGTTGCCTCTTTGTGTAAGCAAACACCTGAGAACATTATTTTTTCATTAGTGTATGCTGAAAACTCATAATAATTATACTGTACATTGTAAAATATTTAAATTGTATACAGTTTCTTACTTGCTAGAGGGTGACATTCAAATTGTTAACTGATACAATACCCTCTTATTCTGAGAATAATTAATAGTATATTAAAATCACTAACCAAATGTTCAATATTTTCAATATATCATGTAAAAATTTAGACTCACTTACAGTAATTAAGACCAAGAAAAACAGAAAATGCAACAAAGACATTATTTGGAAGAGAGAAACCAAGCACACTCATGCAAATGTGTTTCATGCATAAAAGCAGACACTACAAAAGCACTACAGCATACATTAACAAATATGAACCTGAATATATACAAATATGATTCCTGAAAATGAATTACTAATCACAAAAAAAATTTAGCTGCCTTATTAACGTTATATTGCTACTGCTCCATCAAGCGATAAGTGCCATTGCCCCACTCACACAATGGAGCCTAGTTGTGCCCAGGAATATTCAAGAATCTCGCTTATAAAGTTATGATTATGACTAGAGACCTCAGGCAATCATTTGCCTACCATATATTGGACAAAAATCTTAAAAAAACCCTTCGTTACCTTCCTGGGCCTTAGTAAAAAGATGGGCACAAAGTTTGGTGTAGCACCATCGACTGACATCCATCCTCCAATTAACTTGAAAAATATCCCTTAGAATATGACTGACAATAATTCTTCACTCTCTACTGCCAAGCTAAAATAAGTACTGCATAATTGCTTATTTTCCAACATCAATAACCAATGCTTAACAAATTTTTTTTTTAATTAATTAAAAAAAAAATTTGTTAAGCATTGGTTATTGATGTTGGAAAATAAGCAATTATTTGTAAAATAATAAGTAGTATTTGAAAAAAAATAAGCAGTATTTGTTTTTATGCACTACTGTTATAAGATATATCTAATTTTTGGGTGTCCAGTTTGAAGGTTAAATTGATAAATTTTTAATTAACATTTTTCTTCATGGAGGAAAATTACAGCAAGTATCAACCGTTACACAATTGCTTATGACAAACACACAGTATGAGGATTCACCCAAGGTAAAGATGGCTTATGTCTAACAAAATTTGTCACTTTAGAAATTTAAGGAAATTGGTGTTTGCTAATAAATTCCTGCAATTACTAAGATTTGACATATCTCTGGCTGTTATTGCCTATTAAAATTATAGGCCTACTTATTATAAATTTAAAATAATTAATCAGGAGAGTTTTGGCACCATTGCACCCCAAAAATATTTTTAAATGTTTATTCTCACTTTACCTGAACTGAGGAGAGTTCACGGAATATATGGAAGGTGGTTAGGAAGAGGAGAAAGATTATTGTTTGGTATGGGAGCCCCCACCCATCATAAAAATGGTAGGCAATTGTGCTTCTGGCATTTTCTCGTGTCTTTTTCTATTTCCCTCTTGAGACTCACTGGATGCTTTTCTTACAAGAAACCTGTCCTTGTAATGCTGTCCATACAGCATTTGTTTTTGTCTGTGACTTAAAAGGGGAGGGGGAGGGGGAGGGGAGGGGAGGGGGGGAGGGGGGAGGGGGGAGGGGGAGGGGGAGGGAGGGGGGAAGGGGAGGGGGAAGGGGAAGGGGAGGGGGGAGGGGGGAGGGGGAGGGGGAGGGGGAGGAGGAGGTGTTACTGTTTGGAAGGGGAGTCCCCTTCCATTATAACATCAGGCAGTGATGACTTCTCTGAGGTACACTCTCTCCTACGTTTTGCATGCATACCACTAAGTATGTGGCTCACTGCTTGCTCGTCTTACTAAGAATCTGTCGAAAGACACTTGTTTTTCCCTACATTTTAATACTTGTCTGTAGCGAGACATCACATTGTCATTTAAAAGGTCAATGCTACAGCTTTATCTGGGTGAGTTTTTTTCAACAAAACTTTGCAGTTCTTCACATACTTCACACATTTTCTTAACAAGGAAGGGACATCATCATCTGCCTCTTCTCACAACTATTTTCTTAGGTTGAACCTTACCACCGTATTTCTTGGGACTCATTGCGTGATATATAATAATTACTTTTATAAACAAAAAAGCACAAAAACATTTAAATTCTTTACAAGTGCGATCGTCACAAAGTGGGTGGCTCTGGTAAACTGAGGCCGGGTCGGCCCGTGCCACAGGCACCACCCCCTCGGTCAACCCAAACTTGTATCAACAAAGTCGCTAGTCAGGGCAAAGGTCGTAAGTCGAGTTGCATTTTCCAACAAAATTTATGTCGTAACTAAAAAAATTCGTAAGTAGGGGCAGTCTTAAGTCAAGGCGCCACCGTATTGAGGTTTCTCTGTATGGAACTGTGTACATAATTTGTTTTTGTTTTTTACTTTTGCCAAAAATATGGTACTTTTATTTTCTCAAATGTTTTAAGAACTATACAGAATGGTGCTCCAGGGCTGAAAGAATCAAGCACTCCAGTGGTTAAGCCTTTATGTGAATCTTAGAAATAGTAGCTAATATTGATTTTAAGATAAACAAATTTAAAAATTTAATATAACCCAATTTGAGGAGAAAATTACAGTACAACCTTGATTCGGCAAAATATATGGAAAAGGCCTAACTGGTTGCTATTCCTGTTCCTATCAGTGTTTAATTTATCTATATATTTTTTTTTAAGTGTGATCAGAGCCATATTTAAGAAGTTACCACTCATATTCTAATTTTTCCTATGATCTACGAGTCGATTTCAGTGAGCAAAATTAATTTCATCCTGACCTGATTGTAAAGAGAGATTTCACCCTCATTGTCAGTATTCCTCAGGATCCAGCCCCATTATATTATTTTTTAAAGGTGGCGACATGACCCAAAAATTATGTAAATGAACCAGACCTATCAGGTTTTCCACATGTTCATGAACTCTGGCTCTACATCCTAAGCAAATTCGCATATCACCTGCTTTGCCAAATACCTGTTCAACAACGCAGGGGAGTAAAACCTAGCCAGTAATGTGTTGCAACCAGAGATTTGCCAAAGAGAACGCTGCACTAATTTTGTTTTACTTTGCATGATGTTCCTTAAGCCAAGACAATAAAATAAAATATTAACTAACCCTTTCTAATACAATACTGAATATCAGTTTCACAATATACCCCTACTGAAAACAGCACACAATGTTCACCACACATACGGACCTGTTGACCCGACAGCTTCTGACACTTTGATAATTTCAGATTGGGGCGAGTATTAATCAGGCACAAGTCATCTGGGGATTTTATCTGTTGGTGTGAGCATGACAGAGCCCTAAATATAGAGCAAAGTTGCATACCACAATCTGATAAAAATAAAGCCAACCCACAAGCAATAGGCTAGTACCAATGAGAAAATTATCTACATATAAAGAGAATTTATGTATAATTAATTATAATTCATTGTGCCAGGGGATAGGCAGCCAATGTATATATGTTAGGCTTATATCATTTCAAATCCGCAAAGATAATACCACACGAGACTAGATGGCATGGCCAGATGTGCAAAAGATCCCCAATGAAATGCAGAGGTGCAATAGGTATGCTGAGAGAACTCAACAACAAAGGCCCAAGACTTTTCAACACGGTACCAGGTTCGTTCTCAACACACAATCGAGAATTCTGGGTTTGAATCCTGGATGGGACAAATAGTTTGGTGCATTTCCTATTACCTAATGGGCCTGTTCACCTAACAATAAATCGGTACCTCAGGAGTTTATTTGCTTCTTGTTGGTTGAATGCTGGGAAAAGTCAGTCATTTGATGGGGGGTGGGGGGCAGAACCCTGATATAAGCCTAACTTGTACTGTATGTATAAAATGGCTGCCTGTTTCCCAACAAATGATTTACTTAATTATTAACTTTAAAGAAAATTATCTTCATAAATTCACTCTTCACAGTTTTCCTATGATAAACATCTCAAAAAACAATGGATTATAATTATATTTTTAATAATTAATTATTGTAGTATTACAGTAACTTTTACAAATTTTCCAAATTCTTTGAATAAATGTGTTTCCATGTATCAAAGATTTCCAATAGCTAAGAAACTGCCCAATTCATGCAAAATACCCCATGCAAGTTACAATAAAAAACATCAGTGCAGAATTCCATCTATTTTAGAAAAGCATAGGTTTTTTATATTACTACACAGTGCTATACTATGTCAGTAAACACAATAAGAAATCATGAAGATCCATTGTTAACCATCGAACAGCATGCACGGAAGCAACTGATAAGAGGCAAAGGCTGGAAAGATCCATAGAACATTATAAATATAATTATTCTTCCATAATCAGACCTGGTTGCCACCTAGGCCATGACAATAACTGGTGCCAAGATTCTCTCCACTCTTGCGACCTAAAGTATCCAAGCAGCTCTGCGTCTCTGCATTTCGAATCTACAGGAATTCAAGTTAAATAAATGTAAGAACAGCAATTTCAACAATACTGAATTATTTTTCATACCATAAAACATCAATGCCAAAAAGTGATTATTCCTAAAGCCATAAAAATATGAAATTAATTAAATTATTACTATGTCAACCCTGCAATTCACAATTTATTGATTCATTTCATAACTTGTAAAATTACTAGTTGATTACTTTAAGAAAAAATCAATGCCACACTTATTTGATGATAAAAAAAAATCTATCAGATGCATTAGCTTAACCTAATAAGTAGCAAATTGTTTTAATATAATGACTGCAAATTTTTAGCCAAATATCTGTAGTAGTTACCATGGAATACATTTAGGTGATCACATTTTTTATTAATTAATTTCATCTATGATTGGTGTTATTAGTGGCAAGTGCATTCATTACTGATGAACAATCTGGCTTAAAACATATTTATAAATTACAATTTAATCCTGAATATCTTTATATGAATATTAAAGCATCCAAAATCCTGTAACGTGAAAAATATAATTTGAACAACTGCACATGCCTACTACATCATTTAGAAAAATCAGATTTTTAATTCACCAAAATTTCAATTTTTTGGCATTAAATATTTTATTTAAGTTGCCAGAATTAGAATATAGTATAAAATCCATCAATAATACATGGTAAAACACATACCTCTCCTAAGTAGTAATAATCCAGAGGCATCTGAGACTCTGGGTAAATGTTTTCCAAGAACCATCGGAAGCTCTTGCACTTCAAGTCTTTCCGTAATTTTCGGCGGGAACTAACATCACCATAATCAACGCTTCGTGCACCTAAATATTGTTTGGATGTATATCATTATATGCAGGATTGCAAGTTTTGAAATATAGTACTGAATAAATTGTATTATATACAGTAATCTAATATTTTATCAATAAAATCTCAAAGATCATTTAGAAGATACAATCACATTATTTATAATATTTACCAGATAAAACTAAACTACTACTAATTCAAAATAAAACTTTGTAAATAATTTAAAGTACAACAGAATATTTTACAAACAAAATCATCTACAAAAATACAATACCAGTATAGGACATAAAAAATACAAAGATGGGGAAGGATAAGGATGTTGTAGGCAAGTCTTCCTGGGAAGACTAATGATAATGATCCCTGTAAATGATGCATCTCGCTCATCAATCACTAATATTCCACAAAAATATTTATAAGGTATGTTTAGGGATTAAATTAGAAATTTACATTAATAAAGCAGATTTTTGTTTTGTCATCAAATAACTCTAATAGTGATAAGTTCTAACATCTCTCTCACATGACCACTTCCAATGATCATACCAATTAAAACATCTAACACCAGAAGTAAACATGAACCAATCATGGTGCATAGAAGCAGCCTCCTTGCTCTTCAACTTTCCACAGGAGCTGCAGTTGCACGATGTGTCTATGATAATTGGGATAATAAGCAGCCTTGCTTTAACTAAACTGTTTCAGTGACGAAAAATGGGGTCTTCATGTTAATCACTGCATACCTTCTTTTCAAATGGATTAGAGTTAGACTTTTTATAATAAAACTGCAAGACTAAACACGATATTAGAAAAGGTCGTGTGAAATGAGCTGGTCAATTAGATCCACTGCTTAATAAATTGTCTTATGGATAAGCTTCAATTTAGTTTCTGAAGGGAATTAGAATGAATAATATATATATAAAAAAAACAGGACTTAAAGTAATGTGAAATATTCCTTTCTTTGCAGCAACTCTCTGACTTCCCAAGCCAGAGTCCATCTACCCTGGACACTGCATAAATTCCAGGTCGCATCAACATTAGAATCTTAAGAAGAACCCTTATAAATTGGCTTTCAATATTGGCTGCAATACAGTGGAGCAGAAAACTACACAAAACCCTTCTCAAATGATATTGGGGGTCACCAGGACAGTAAATTAATCTTCTAACTACTGCCTGCTACCTGACCATTAACAATACAATGATGTCAAAGGAGTTGGCTGCCTTCCTAACTTAACCCTTAAACAGCGGTTATCATCAATTGTTGATTCATAGGGTAATGCGGTTATCATCATATGAAGAGTTAAAAATTATTGTCTGGGTTTTACATGTATGATGCAAATATGGATATAAAAGATCGTAAATAAAAGCTCTTTGTGGATGTAAATAAAGAACAGCAAGACATCAAAGGATAAAACATGAAGTGTCAGCAAAGTCAAACTCCAAGCGTTGACAAGTGCCAGACGCAGCCTTGCAGAGCGTCTCCACCCAGTGAAACGATAAATACTGTATTCACCTATTTTTGTGTTTTTCATACATTCTGCATACAGTACAAGTATATAATTCTATAATGAAGGGGGTAATAATAATTTGTTACTCTATAGAGTAACAGAGTAAACATACTCTATGGAGTACGATCATTTCTCCATAGCCGCTGTCTAAAGGTTAAGGTAAATTCTTGGGGTGGACAGTAGAGCGACAGTCTCGCTTTATGAGTTAGTGTTCAATCCTTGACCGTCCAAGTGATTGGGCACCGCTTTCGCAAACAGAGTTGTCGAAGATTGAAACAAGTCAGGCGAAAAGGTGGTGGATACCAAAACTGTCAGTAGTTTTAAAGTGTTATATGAGAGTACTGGGAAGATGGGAAACCACGAGCGAAGCTCTTATCCTGTAACTACACTTAGGTAATTACAAGAACCAGACCAACCTGCTCCAAGACAAAGTCAAAAGAGGCAACCTAGATGTGAGAATAGAGGACTCAGCATGCTCTAACTTAACTCCATGTACACTATGATGGAAAAGGACAAAAGTAACCCCACCAGAAAATACAAATAAAGTCAAATTATGTCATTTTGCAAAACATCCACCTGTAGAACTACCAAGGCTTCGACCAGAGACAGTCCCCTAAAAGGCCCCACCCAGTCTAAAAGGATCAAGATCAAACCAGAGCTTACCAATGGCTGCAGAGCAGATAACTTTGAGGAGCCATTATTATTTTAGGGAAGAAAACCCCCCAAAATGATAAAGCAGGAAACTGTAGCCAGAGACATATATACAAGTGGAAATCACTCCATTCAGTGAACAATAATGCAATGAACACCCTGAACACTCACAGAAATTAGGTCAGTTTACTTTAATGTGTGCGCAGAATTGGAACCCATACAGATAGACCATCAGGTGAAAACTAAGCGCAGTTGGTACCTCCAATCTTCTTGTTGGCTGATGCTGCCACATGGTGGTCAGGTGGTAGATATATCAGAAATCTGTTCTTATCATAGTTAGAATAGTTAGAATTACAATCTAATAGGGGGGTTTTGAGTTGTGTGTTTCTGCTCTTTTGAATAATAGTGAGACATCTTAGGTGTTGGATTACATATACTCTACCATGTTTTCTTAAACATGTAGCAAGACAATTTAGAAGGTTCCTCGTCAAAGATCCACAAGAACCTGGCATTTTTGCAATATTGGGAGTGGACCCCGGTTGTTGAGCAACTGAGAGGAACTTTTTCAGAAAGACACAGTTCCACATAAGTACAGACTAATAAAATTCTTTATTTCATTCTTAAAGTTATTGTCTAGTACATACTTGAACATGTGTAGTATAGAGTTATTGCTTAAAAACAAAATACGAAGTGGAAAATTCTGCTGTATTTATGCAACATCCATAAGTTGTAAAGCTTTAAAAGATACTGCATGGGTTAAAAAAAAAAGAAAAAAGCAAGCAAGCATGAAGTAAACTATAGAATATTAACAAGCTCAGAAGTGACAGATTAACAGCTAGTAAATCTGCATCAAGTTAGCATATCACCTCCAAACGTCTAAAAGCCATCTGATTAGCCATCTGTAATTAGCAATTTATGATAGTGTATTTAACAAATTTAATTATTAAACCATGCCACAACATACAGTGCCATTCATACCAAATAGTTAATTTGTTTAATCACCAAACAGCCAAGTTATTTTACAGTAATTTTATACAGTGGAACCTCGATTAACGAATTTAATTCGTTCCGGCACCTAGCTCGTCATGTGAAACATTCATCTTTCAAAACGAATTTCCCCATTTAAAATAATGGAAATAAAATTAATCCGTTCTACCACTGAAAAACATCAACATATTCGATTTTGTAAATAATGGAGCAGCCTACCTGACATACACTGAACAAACCTTTATGACTGTCTTTTTTCAGATTTGTACAATTTTTTTTTTTTCATTTTTTTAATAGAAAAAGGTTCGTTCACTGTATGTCGGGTAGCCTGCTCCAATTTTGTATAAAAAAAAATTGAACAAATTTGAAGAAAGGAAAATGTCATAAAGGTTCGTTCAGTGTTTGTCAGGTAGTATGCTCCATTATAACATTTTTTCTTGTTTTCAAATTTTTTCAAATTTTTTTTTTATACAAAATTGGAGCAGGCTACCTGACATACACTGAACGAACCTTTTTCTATAAAAAATGAAAATAAAAAAAAATTGTATAAATCTGAAAAGACAAAATGTCAAAGGTTTGTTCAATGTATGTCAAGTAGGCTGCTCCATTTTCTTAAAAAAGAAATGAAAAAATATAAAAAATTAAGGTAGGCTAGTAGAACTTCTGGTTGCAATTCTTTTTACCGTGTCGTAGCGCAGTCGATTAAGGCAGCGTCTGGGATGTTCTCGGACATAGGTTCGAACCCTTGTCACGGCCCTTATGGATTTGTTCATTTAATGCATCACACTATTGTGATTTCTGTGTAGTGTAGTGTAGTGTAAAAAAAATTTAATTTAACAAATTTGAAGAAAGAAAAATGTCAAAGGAAGGTTTGTTCACTGTATGTCAGGTAGGCTGCTCCATTATTTACAAAATCGAATATTATGTTGATATTTTTCAGTGGTAGAATGGATTAATTTTATTTCCATTATTTTAAATGGGGAAATTCATTTTGAAAGATGAGTGTTTCACATGTAGTTGAAATTAACTATATGTAATATAGTTGTAATATAGTACCTGCAGCCATTCTGAAATTATAAAATAAAGTACTGTACTGTACTGTAGTTAAAAGTCAAGGAAAACATTTATACATTTTTCTAATATTGTCTTCCACTGAAATTTGCACTAACTTTTAACAAATTCTATAAAATTCTATTCCTCCCCCCCCCCACACACAACCCAGTCCCACACACCCACACATTAAAAATTGCTTCTAAAGAAGTTAAATCGAATCTAGGCTTTAGTGAATACAATAAGTTAAGCAAGGAAATTCAACAGATCTTGCAGTCTATATACTAAAGAGTCATCAGTCACAAAAGATCTGATTGACCATTCAGGGACCAGAGCAAGAACCAGGATCCCCCTCCCCTCTCACAGGTGCAAGAATTGAGTGGCAATTCACCACTCCACCAGGAGGGTTCACAGAAAATGAAGCCTGGAAATGGCCAAAACTCCACAAACTATTCACAGAGGACAAGTGATTAACTCAAACTACCTCAAAATCCTTTAGTACTGATTATTGCCACCAGGCGGCCATACACCAGCTCTCAGTCGCCTTTCCACCTCATTTCTCGAGCTGATGGAGGGAGGGTGGGGGAATCAAGGAGCTACTGGGGATCCTCCAGAAAGAGGCATTTTATTACATTCAACATAAATTGTAATAAAAAATTGTACAGGGGGTACTTCTAAATTCCTTTATGGCAAGTTCCAGTGGACACCCACTTCATGAACCTTTCGTTGTTCCCCTGAAAGTCCAGTATTTGCACACCATATATTGGCAATCATTGAAATTTTCTACAGGTTTTGGATATGAAAGTAGAAACTGATTTTAAATAATTCTTGATTTTTAGTAAGTAGCTATGAAACAAAAAGAACAAAGGACAGAACAGTACTCTACTGTATAGTCAAAGTTTTGTGAAATTGATGAAACAAAATATCATGGAATCATGTATAGCGTATTAAAAACACAGCTAAAGACAAATCTTGCAAACTACAAGATGGTGTGCCAATTAATAACAGTGCTGCACCCTAGATACTAGTGATAATAGTGAGAAGGTGGCCATATTAATGTGAATGGGCATGTGGTAGGGTGTGTGCTAGCTTGCAGTAGTACTATGGCAGTGATAGTGATAATATCTACAGTGCTATGGTGGTAGTGGGAGGGGTATTGAAAGTTGCAGTGCAATGGAAGAGGTAATAGTTGTAATGGTGGTAAAAGGATGAGGTATGTGCAAGAGGCCAGGGTGAAAGGCAAGCGTGCAGCCTGACCTGGGTTAATGCTGTAATAGAACTCTTTCCAGTCGTCCAACCACACCTCGGCGAGACGCGCGTTGTTTTTGTTTACAATTTTGGAAGTGCCCCCTGGGAACGTGTATGGGGTAGACTTGCGGAACACGTGACCCACATGGGAGCAAGTGGAGATCTCTAGCGTTCCCCCACACATCCACACCTGTAGGATGATGATTCAGCCTCACATGAGCCAAGCAGTGCTGGGACAGGTTGCTAGATTGTGACTGATGGAAATCCATACACAGTACAGTACCTCTCACCAAAGTGCCTAGAGGCCCCCAGGCCATGACTAAGCTTGTACTCAGTAGTCCTTCACCTCCCAAAGCTGCTATATTTAACATCTATACAATTTTATACAGTTCACCATTGCAAAACATTTAAGTGTATGCTAGTATACAGTGGCCATTGCTTTCAGGTGCTCTGATTATCATCAATAATATTAAAGAAATAACTAGGACATAATACTGTACTATTAAATGAAAAATATTTGAAAATTGTCTTAAATTCAAATTAACGCATTCAATACTCAAATAAAAAGCGACAATAGAAATCAGTTTCTCATCCAGCCATAGCCAATTAATTAAATTGTCATCCACTAATCTAAGTCTATTATCTGTAAGGATATCAAATACTTGTTAGTAGGAGATGCATTTATGTAAGTAAGGCAATATCAATTTGTTAGTGGTATGCATTTACAACATTCTGGATATTATTTCATAACCATTTTATATACATTACGAGGTACTTATTTGCTTTGTTATCAAGAATATTGTAATTCTTTTTAAATGCTTCTCATTCTGCTCATCCACTGCCCTGTAAACAATTGCATTTGTGTGTGTGTGCTATAACCCCTATCAACTTCACTCTTCAAGATGGGGAAAAATGCTTCTCATTTAAAAACTTGTCAAGTCACAGCAGAGGAAATTATGTGAAAGCAGACACACAACACGCATCATAGTGGCTACATACCTGTATGTTAAATGATTACCGATTTTTACAAACAACTAGAGGACTAGTGATAGAAAGAGGATGCTGTATTTCAGTGTTTGCAGCCAAAAGTCAGGAGTGAACATTTTCAATGCAACCCTGTAAGAAAGTGTTAATGGAGACCAATGTGATAGGTCTTGTCTGGTGAGAGGTGAATCACTCGGGGTCATCATCAACCCATTTGGTAGGTAAGGTTGTGGGCTTAGTGGGTATGGGAAGGCAGGAATCTAAGGGTCAAGGGGCCTAGGGGTAAGGGAGGGTACCTGGATTCATCTCAAAGAAAAAGTCCCTCCACTCGTCCATCCAGACTTCAGCCACACGGGCCGAATTCTTCATGACCACGTTGACAACTCCTCCAGGGAAGGAATAAGGTGACTTGTCGCGGAACACATGGCCCACATGTGAACAGGGGATGATCTCTAGCGTGCCTCCACACTGCCAGATCTAAACACCATTGATGTCAGCATACTATCAAACTGCCTTATTTCTTAAATTCTTCTCTAGTTCCCTTAATCTTAATGTTGCATATTTTGACAACACTGTATTAGCGATGTATTCAAAAAACATTATTACAAATTCTTGTCTTGCATTAATGCAACAATCTTTAAAAACATTAATTGCCAGAAACAAACTTTTCTTTACTACAAAGTTTGTTAGCTTTTTTGTATCAATGTACAGTATACAAGTCATTATGCATATAAGACCTGTAGTACTTAAAACTTTAATCTGCCAATCTAAATTAAATATACTTGTGTAAAATCATGTCAATAAAAACATTTTTAATAGTAATGATAGGCTCAAACCAAGGTCCAAGATATAGTTTTGGTGAAATGTTTTAATTTTATAAGTGATTTTCTAATTACAAAGTGTGCACACTTTTGTGTACATGCTATAAAATAGTGAACTGTACCCATTCTGCAACATAAAATAACACCAACTTCAACTTATGTGAATACAGTACCATAAAAGACTTATTATTGAATCTATATTATTAACTTCAGGTATTCAGGTAACTAAATTGCACAACTAATCCTATGTACCATTTCAACATTCCTAAATGAACACAATTTAAAAACAATTATAAATATGTAACAAGTGATGATACTCAGCATCTTGTAAACACTAACATTTTGTATGAAATGTGCACATTAAAATAATTAAAGAACAAATTCTAAAGAAAGTAAGAGTTTTTAAGTACTTGTACTATTGTTATATATAACTAACAAGATTACTTACCCTAAATGACATTTCCAGATTTTCTCCTCCCCATATATCCATTCCTTCATCATAGCGGCCAATCTTTTCAAAATAATCCTTATCAATGGCAAATAATCCACCAGCCATAGTAGGTGTCCTCAGTGGTTGGGTTCTATCGCCCCCTCGTCTCTCCATCTCTCGCTGAGGAACTCGGTACCTGATTAAAAACTTAAATGAGAAACTAGTCTCCAGAATATATTAAAATAATTACTGTAGATATTCAATACATTACTTTATAATGGAAAAATTTAATCTCCAGTTACCATAACCCAAATGCACAGTTACCAATACATCAGCACCTCATTTGTCATAGTTGGCCTGTTGTTTATATATGCAAGGTGCAATTATTGCCAATTTAACACTACCTCCTTTACCCCCTCATTACCTGGAGGCAACATTCACAAATTTGTATAATCGTGCAGCCCAGGGAAATGCAACTCTTCTCTTTTGATTGCATTATCTGAAAGGCTATTGCTGGTCATAGCATGCAGACTAACACTTTAAAACCCAGCTGAACTAATACTTTCTGTAGGAATTTAATTTCCTCTTCTTTCAAACTTTTGTAGAGAGTATAGGTTCTGATCTGATCTGCTTCAAATTCACAAAACAGCAAAAACTTATCCTATACAGCAAGAATTGCAGGCTCTTAAACAGGAGAAAAATAATTCAGGCGAGTAAGGATTTATTTGCTCAATGTAAGAACTTTAATTGTAGCGTGCTTAGTTGTTTGTTATTCTGTCAAAAGGCAATTGAACTGAAGGTAAATGACAGTAGGTACCATTATCTTGGTGATTTCGGGGCTTAGCGTCCCTGCGGCCTGGTCCTCGACCAGGCCTCCTTTTTGTTACACACCCCCAGGCAACAGACTGTAGCAGCTGTGTAACTCCCAGGTACCTATTTACTTCTAGGTGAATAGGGCATCAGGGTGAAAAAACATTTTACCCATTTGTCTCCGCCTCCACCGGGGATCGAACCCGGAACCTCAGGACTACAAATCTGAAGCGCTGTCCACTCACAGCTGTCAGGCGCCCTATAGGATACTAATTTCTATTTAGCGACTTCAAGCAGATAAGTTATTTAAACATGTTTCTCATCCTACCATCTAAAGTTTAGTTTCCAGTTGAAGCCGCCCCAAGTCATGTCTGAAGCCGTTACATATTCGAAGGTTTCATCAGAGATGACATCAATAATTGGACACACCACACGAGTCCTGAAATAAAGTGACGAGAATCAATGCAACAGACTTTGAAGAAATACTATATTAACTTGTCATTCATTTACTTGTGGTAATAATATTAGCAAACAATACCTAGATAAGATTTAATTTTGCCAAATAAATCAAGTGAGCTCTTCAACCTTATTACAATTTAATGTGCATAGAATTTTATTAAATATCCCTAAATAACCTTTAATGAATACAATTGTTTTAAACTCTGCAAATGGGAAACAATGGTACCAAGGAGGATTATAGCTATGTTGTATATTTTAAATGCACTTGTACACAGTAACAATGAAATTACAATATTGTTAAGAAGACACTAATGTATTTATTTTCAAAAATAGAACAATAAGTTAGCTAGGTATCTAGCCTTCGATGGCGGCATATCTTAAAACAACAAATCCAGACATCAGATTGTGACTAAACTTATTCTGCAAGGTCCTATTCAGAGTAATGAAATATGGAAACCATATCGAAATATAAATTAATATTAAATAACATTATCCAGATTTTTGTCTCCGTGAACTTCAAATACACAGCTCTGTATAAACACATTTAACATAAAAGTTTAACAACAGTAACCACTACGAAATTCGCCAGTGAGTAGGGAGGAGTGAAGATATGGGAGTATTTGCTGAACGTTTACTGAAGATGCACTTATTTTACTTTTTGCAACATAGCTCAGTCAAATTCTCCTTCCATTAGCAAATCTTAATTGGTTATAAAAAAACAAAAAAAAATAGTCACCGTGGGAACATTCCTTCTGTAAAAATAGATCAGATGAAGCAAGTTTCAATCCAATATGAAGAAGTATTCATGATATTCATGGAAATCAAGGAAAACAAATTACGAAACCAAAAGGTATCCCAGTACTTGGATGAAGATGAAAATGAAGATGAAAATGAAGGCAGCATTTCTTGCCCGAAATGCTGTGCATAGTAGTGGCTTTAGGTATTGCATGAAGTAGCACTATCTATAAATCCAACATTATGTTTGTAACTCATCTTCTATTGATGTACTTTTCCCTGAATAAACATTTGAATTTGAAGATGAAGAAGATGATGAAGTAGTAGTATGCATAGTTTGCGATCCCAAAAATTATGTATCAAATTAAGTTTATTATGCTAAATAAGCCCAATACAGTATATAATAAAGTACCTCAAATTTCAGTTATGTACAACTACCTGGAGCGGGTTCTGGGAGTTTTTCTACTCCCGGAGCCCGGCCTCTAATTTATCGTCTATTCATCCATCAAATTCATCTCTCCATCCACATATTCATCTACTCGTCTCTCCATCCACATATTCATCTACTCATCTCTCCATCCACATATTCATCAAACTAGATGGTTGGATGGAGAGATATTGATGACTGGGTAGACAGATATAGATTGCTAGACGAGTAGGTAGATGGATAGGCACTCGTGCGTGTGTGCAACTCACCTAGTTGTCCTCACCTAATTGTGCTTACGGGGGTTGAGCTTTGGCTCTTTGGCCCCGCCTCTCAACCGTCAATCAACTGGTGTACAAATTCCCGAGCTTCTCGAGCTTCATCATATCTACATTTGAAACTATATATGGAGTCAGCCTCCACCACATAACTAAATTGTGTATGTTCGCATGTGTGTGGCGCTGTAGCGAAGTGGATGACGCGAATGACACTGTCAGTCAGGTCAAGCACTGTTGGCTCTGGATCTGCAAAGGCAGTTATTGCCCTTACCTAAGGATATCTCTATAATCTTCAACATGATATCTCTATCTCCCTCCCCCCATACAAACACATTGATAGGCACTATGTACGTGCATGCTCCTGTGGGCGTACTTATTTGCTCCTGTGGGCGTACTTATAAGTTGGTTGTGCTTGCATATGTACACGAGCGCCCACCCTTCCCTCCACACCAAAATATTGCTTACAAGTCAACTTATTCAAGAAAAACCCGCCTTCAGCCCTCGTGAGGAAATTGCTAAAACTCTCCTCACCCTCCAGGCTCCACAACCCCGTCTGCGTGATTCCTGTTGCACGAACTTAAATTTGTGAAATTTAATCATGAATGTCGTATCAGCCTAATATACAAAATTCAGCCTTAATTCATCCAAAAAATCAAAACAATGACAACATTTTGCCAATATTAAACCTTCACTCTACTGCAGCCATATCAAGCACCAGAATCAACATCCACTCGATAAATACTGAAAGCAAGCAAGCACTCGTGATGAACAGCAGAGCCCTTCAACCAGTTTCCACGGTGAGAGGGGCGATGGCCTCGCCTGGCATATGACAGCCTGGTGAATGATGATCCTCAGGTGTAGAGATCGATACAGCGGCTACCATCACCTGCCCCCACACCCCACACGCCCCACACCCCCTCTATCTAAGGCTACATGTTTGGCCAAATAGGTTTACTCTGAACTAGGATATGATTTACTTTTAAAATTACGCTAGACTGGTTAGATTAAGTTAATTGTTCACATATTTCAGATGCCATAAACGCCGGTACAATGTTAACGATGGCGAAGCACTGTTAATTGACTCTGAACTTTGAACTCAAGACTTCGCCAGAAAGTTTGTTTAAATTTGGGGAGATTACACTGCGTTGTGATTAATTAAGCGAGGTGAGATTGGGCAGATTTAAGGACACGTTAGGCTCAGCTTATTTAGTCAGATATTATTAATATTAAGCAGGGTTAGATTAAAGCCAAACATGGGATATAAGACGTTCTGAAAGCTCTATCTACAGGGCCTCTTATCCAACCTGTCACACTGTCATGTTATGGGGAAACCGGATCTGAAAATATGATTTTAACCAACTTGTATAAAATATTTAACAATTGCTCATTTGCCACAATCGCAAGAACGATTGCTTAAAAATAGTTATAATGTAAAATGTGCCTTATGTTTCCCGGCGTTTCCCCCCCCCCCCTTCCCTCTCACCTTTCTTCCCCTCTCACCGCTCCCCATCTTTCTCCCGCTTCTCTTTCCTTTGCCCCTTCAGAATATTTATGATGATGCACTGAAAAATATAGTCAAGAACACATTTCAGACAATGAAAATCGCAAGGGAGGGAGGGAGGGAGGGGGGGAGGTGAGGTAGCAATAGATGCCTGAGTGTGTCTTAAAAGATGGCACTGGAGGAGCCAGCCCTGACTGGTCTATGGCACTCACAACCCCCTCCCCCCATGTATTTATAATCTTTGAAATTTGGACGAGAACCCAAGCGTTTGGGTTCTTGGCGTCTGTACTTTGGACATATTCTATTTTATATATACTATATCGCAAACAATATTAAAAATCTATTGTATTGTAATTTTTCTAGGGCCTTTACTACACGGTATTCGCCTATTTGTTCTTGCGGGGGTTGAGCTCTGCTCTTTCGGCCCGCCTCTCAACTGTCAATCAACTGTAACTAACTACTAATCCCCCCCCCACACACACAGTAAGCAGCGCCGTAATTAATGACAGCTCCGTAATTAATACGGTGATAGCTACCGAGTGTTTAATTATTAATGCAGGAGAAAATTTTACCAAATTCGAGTAAAGGAGACTTCCTAAACCTCAATTTTACCGTATTAGGACTCAAAAGGAAAACCTGTAGCCTGCTCTACTCTGGGAAACTAATACAGCTGCAGTTGACTAAAGTACGGTTACTGTGGAGACCTACACACTTTGACTGGTAGATATTGTGATGGTTCCGCTTCTTGCTGGCAGGCGTTCAGACAGTCTAAGTGGTTAGGTACAGTTCCTTCCTCCATCATGTTCAGGATTATTTTACTTATAAGCCCTTCCAAGTGCTCTGTAATTGTACTGATTTAGCACTTTCATAATTTAATTATCTTGCCACAACGAATTCCTCGTAAAATGAAACTTGGTAAACTCTTACCACAGTTTCAAAATCAACTATCCATCTAAAGTGGTTAGGCCACGATCCTAATTTTACCAGTCTTTACCTTATATATGTCAATATCGATCCTAAATCTGTCCTTAATTCAGCATCTTATTTCCCTCTCTCCCTTACCAGTTACCGAAGTCAAAGAGGCTAGATGCAGCGATAAGGACGCACTGATGAAGCGACGTTTTACGTGATTTACATTTCTCAAGGTGCCCTTTCCGTCAGTCCCTTCCGTCAGCCCCTTCCGTCTGGGGCCCCGGCTCCCAGCTATAATGGCGCCAACTTGCAACGCGGAAAGTGGGACGGAAGGAAAAGGTGGGACGAGGGTGCAAGACTCTGGACTATAGGAAAGAGGGAGGTGGAGCAGCAAGAAAATGGGTAATGAGAAATTTTACACGATTTTAAATTTTATTTGTCACTTGTTGTAACGTTTTTATCAAATCCCACATTATGTGGTTCACTTGAACAGGTATATCGAATTTGAGGCGATGTAGTGTGAACTTTTTTCATATGTTGGCCCAACTCCTCAAAACAAAAAACTATAGTTTTCCAAACTCCCACCAGGGGGTTTATGATGTGGAAAACGCACACTTATTAAATACGGTCCCAGAGCATATATTTACCACCAATAAGTAATTCTCTCTAAACATATTTCAAATTAAACAAGGAATCTGAACAAAAATATATCCATTAACTGGTCTTAATTAAATTTTAGGTCTTCTGAACATTATCGAGCACATCGGCCGGTGGTGGTGAAGGGTGGTATCACCAAGTTTGGCCAGGATACCCGCCACGATGTCATCCCTCGCGTACAAACGCTTTCAACGTCCACAATAATAAATGTTCACTTTGCCAGAGACGGTGGAATTAAGACTGTACTAGAGGCGGCTACACTATGAGGGAGGGGGCCGGCTAACTATGAGAAAGAGGGGGGCGGCAACACTGAGGGGCGGGGGGTCGCTACAATGCTGGGGAGAGGGGGCGCTACACTGTACGATAGGTATAGCAGCTACACTGCACAGGGCCAACAGGGAGCTCAGCATTACGCCCTCGCATAAATGCCTAAGGAAGTCTGTTAGTACTGTCGCTATGAATATTTTACTTCT